TGTTTCTTCCTCAAAGGTGATGGTGGCGCACTGCCACAGGTTTTGTGCTCTCATACTAATACCTGCTATGTTGCCAAATCTGACGAAGTGTTGTCTGACCTCCATGAGTCTTGTGTTCCGGGATATGTCCCAGACCACTATGGATTTGCCTTTTTCGATCATCTGTTTACTGATGTGCTTGTGTACGAGCTTGTTGTCACCTAGATTTGGCAACTCCATTCTGGTTGCGTCATCTGCCACTTGTTGATCCCCAAAAATCGTGACGATTTGAGTGCCCTCCTTGCTGTATTTACTGCGGATTGCAATGAGACCCGGAGGGAAGTTGAAGGCTTTCGTTAAATATAGAATTTTTGCGTCATTGTTCTGTCCTGGAGTAACGTTAGCGTCAATTCCCACTTTGAACCTTTCTCTTCCGTACCTGACTTCTGGTTTGACTGGTGACCTCGGTCTGGGCTTGTTGGTGGGGTGGGTTGGTTTGTTCTTTCGTTCAACTGTTGTCCATTGTTCCTCCTCATTTAACTCGGGAGCCGGTCTGCTCTGCATTGCTGAGTGTCGTGTTTCAAACGGAGTGCTTGTTTCCACCTCTTATGTGTATTCCTGGCTGGTCGTTCCTTCTGCCTGGGGTGTTTGTATGACTGGAGGGCTTCCGCTGATGTTTTCTTCTTCTTCCATCTGCTCGCTCCATATTCGTTCCATCCGGGATGTTTCGGTTTCTATGTCCATGGTTGTTGCGCTGGTTGTTGTTTCTATTAAGGCCTTCTGGGGGCCTGATTCCTTGCCATCATTGTTGGGACCTGCTGCCGAAGTTGTTATTGTCTTTGTCTGCATGTTGGTGGGCTTCTTGGCATATGGTTGATTACGGAGGGAGGCAGTTTCCTTGCTCCTTCTTTCTGCTCTTAGTTATCTTTCTACTCTTTGTTGTTCGAGCTGCGAAATCTTAGGGTTCCTAGTGTTGGAAGCCATTTCCCTGTTGTCGAGGTTACTGCACCTCAAGTGATCGAAAAAGAGTTGATGGTTGTGACTGTGATTATATTAAATAATAAAAGCAGATTTACGATATTTAAAAATAATAGACCTAATTATATTTTAAAAACTTTTAATATAAGATATAATATTGAAAGTAGAAAAATATTAATATAAAATGTTTTTAAGTAAAAAATTAGATCTATTAGTAAAAGTAAGTAATGAATTAAATAGATTATATCATATTAAAATACTTAAGAAACTTTTATTATTTTTAATTAATTATAATTTTATTGTAAGAGATATTTATTTCAAAATAATAATATTTCAATTCATATTGTTAAAGATATTTAACAATAAATTTTAGAAAATAAATCTAGATTTTACTTGATTGGTTAAGTTAATCTTCTAATTTAAATCAATTGAATATTTATAAAATATATTACAAAATTAGAAATTGTATTACAAGAAGAATAGAATAAAATTTCAAAAAATTAATTAATAAATTATATAGAAAGTAAAACATGAATTATAGAAATAATTATTAAGAATAATAGGTAGTTAACAGAATATTGATTTATATATAAATATTTTATTATAAAAAATATAATATATTAAAATTTTAAATAAAATTATTTTATAAAAATTTTTATAACTAATAAATGATGTGTAATATTTTTATCCAGGTAATATATTATTTAATATAGTTTATTATAGTTTAAATTTAAAAAACAATAATTTATATTTATAAATTTAAAATATAAAACTATTTATCAATTAATTAAGCAAGTTTTTTATATTGATTCTTTTTTTTTTGATAATTTTTTAGAAAAAATAAAATATATATAAGTAGCAACATAAAAACTTGGTTCAGTAAATTACAAAATATAAAATATAATTATCAGAAACAATATTAATTAAGATAAATATAATTTGAATTAATTTGATATTCTTTTTTTCTATTCAAAATTTTTTTTTGAAAAAATAAGAAATATAAAGACTAATTTATAGTTAGAAAAGGAGAATTAATATTAACTTTATAGAGTTTATTGTTATAATAAGAGATTTCAAATCCAATTAATACATTTGATAAATATATAGTTTCAAATTCTTAAGATTTAAAAGAACAATAAAATCTTTAAGGTATAAACAACTCAAATTTATATGCAATCCAATCAAATTATTACTTGCACAAAACAAATAACACAAATATGAATATATCAGATCATATATCCCAACTTCAAATCAAATCAAATCACGACAAGACTTGCAAATACTTATACCATCTCCTAAAAAGAATGCAACACCTGATCATCAATTTTTAAGTGTTAAAATTTTAATTAGATCAGATCAAATTATGATGAAATTTATAGTATATACAATATATAATTTAATCTATTTGATGTATACATTAGAATAGTGATTAAAATAATAAAAAAAAATTTTTATGATGTAATTAATAAAATCTTACTTTGTGTGACTTTTGGTACTTTTTTGTAATAATATATAAATGCAAAAATTTATTTAAATCTTGTATAAATCAAATGTTTTTAAGATAGTTATCTATAAAGAAAAGGATAAAGGCTATTACCTTATTAAAAAAAGGTTATATTTTATGGCAAGTTGCTATCATAATTGGTAAAAATATTCATTATTCCACTATATTTAGACTTAAAAAAAATATATATTAAAACAAACAAATTAGAAAATAAACCTATTCCCAATTATTCATCTAAACATACTCTACATGAAGAATGTATTATTATTTGAAAATATTAAAAGAAAAATGTAAAACTGCCATAAATATATATTGATCTTTAACAAAATATGAAAAATAAATATTAGTGTCAACAAAATTTGAAGAATTCTTAAGAAAAATGGATTTAAAGCATATACATAATGCAAGAAACTTTTTTTAAGTAAAAAACATAAAAAAATTTGATTGAAATTTGCAAAATTATATAAAAATTAGACCATGGATAATTGAAGTATAGTGGTTTGGTCTGATGAAACTAAATTTCAATTTTTTGAAACTAAAGAATATAAATATTGCTAGAAAAAATCTATAGAACCTTTAAAGGATCAATACATAATTCCTATAACTAAATTTAGTAAAGATAGCATTAATATATGAGGATGTTTTACTTATTATGTTATATAATATTTATCTAGAATTGAATGAAATATTAATGCAAAGCTTTATAGACAAATTTTGAAAAAAGAAAAGAATTAATTAATTATTCATTAAAATATTATCATTTACTGTAGCTCTTAAAAATATTGTATTTCAACATGATAATGATCCTAAACATAAGGCTAAAAAAATTCAAAGATGGTTAAACAATAACAAAATTAAATTATTTCTTGGTCATCAAAATCTCTAGATTTAAATCCAATAGAAAATATCTGTAATAATATTAAAAGAAGAGTTAATTATTTAGAGATTAATATTAATGACAAAGAAACTCTCTGGAATAATTTATTAGAAATTTGAAATGAAACATCTGAAAAAATTTGTAAGAAATATATAGAAACAATGCCTAAAAGAATTAATGATATTATTAAGGCAAAAGATGATTATACAAGATGGTAATAGAAATCAAATATATTTGTATAATTATATATATGAATTTTTTATAAATAAATAAAATTTATTATTTTTAAAAAAAAAAAACTCCAAAAATAATACAACATAAATTTTAAAAAAAATTATCATAAAAAATTTTTTTATTAATTTAAGATTTATTTTAATTATACATTATTTAAGCATACTTATATTATATCTATATTATAAATTTCATCATGATGATCTGATCTGATCAAAATTTTAACACTTAAAGATCGACGATCAGGTGTTGCGTTCTTTTTGGGAGACGGTGTATTATAAAAATAGACCAATATGTCTGAAGCAGAAATTCTAAAATATTTTATTCTTATTTACAGTAATTGGAAAGGGCGAAGTAGTATTGAAGTTAGGAATATGTTATCAAGAGAGTATTGAAACTGAGATGAATGAACACAAGGCATTCGAATATTATCAAAAATAAACTGAGATGAGTGATATAAATTGAACATTTAACTTTGACTATTGCTATCAAAATGGGGTTGGAGTTGAAAAATGATGAACACAAGGCATTCGAGTATTACCAAGAATCGCCAATATGGACCATGCACGCGCTTGTGTCGCTTTTGTTTGTTTCGATTAACAACAGCTTGTAATTTTTTTAAAATACGATTTTTTTATTTAAAACTTTTTCCTGTCAAGATTATTTATTATTACCAGCAGATGAGTTCGATAATAGAATGAATATATTTTATCAGTAACTATTGAAGATAAACTTCCAAGTTAAATTTATACCATTAATGTTTTTTTAATATACTGTATTTAATAAATAAGAGAAAATTGATTTTAAGTCGTGACTACATTATCGCCTAGACCTTATTGACTGAGTTCCCTTTAAAAATCCTTGTGCCGCAAAGTCCTACGAAAAGAGCTTTAACTAGATAACCAAATTTCGACCTTTTAAGGTGTAGATTTTTAAGAGTTTGTTTCTTGATTTATTTTGTGAGTTATTGCGAAAGGTGCTTTAAATGCATTGGATTCTTAACAATGCAGACCGTATGTTTTCACAGTTATATTTTTTAAATTTGTTTCGCAAACTCAGAAAAAAACCGTTAACTATATTAATTGTCGACCGCATGGTTCACGAGCATATTTCTATAAAAAAATTTGTAAATCCATAAGATGGTTTAGGATAGATAGTGGATTGATATGAGAAAATCAACATCTTTTAAACTTTTTTTATTTCTATAAAATAGTAATTCCGATCTTACAATAATTTATTTACACTGGCTTTCAACTTTACAATTGGTTTAAATAGATTAATACATCATTTGTGTGCGCACTCTTGTTTCGATCATTCTTTCTAAACATCAATAATGCCGGAGGTGCGGTTTGAAACCGTACTCGGAACCGTACATTATCAATAAAATTTATCAATACAACAATGATATGTTAGTAGTCAACAATTAATTACCTAGTTTTCATGCATAAAGCTAGCTAAAGATAAAAGAGGATAAGGTGCTGAACTTAATTCCATCTTAGTCTTAAATAAAATCACGTCATCGATAATTTCATTCTGTTCAGATAATTCACATTCAATCTCTTCATTTTTTCGAATATCTTTGTCTATTCCCTTCACCGGATTTTCGCCGTTCACCGCCCCCATACTTCCAAAAATCAGATCAACGATATTGATTACCACACCATCCAACATTTTATCTTCCGCTTCACTACCAATTTTAGATAAAAAGAATCTTTTCACAAACACCTCAAATTTGCTCCGGTCCAACCCAGCATCTTGCGCCTTTAGTAGGTCAATCGCACTTTGCAATTCCTCGACCGTTATGCTAGGAAATCCTTGTGATGATATGTATTCATGTAGTTTCTTTATATCAATGTTGTTATACATTTTAATTAGCTCGAGATTTTGGGATTTCATGTGAATCGAAATTTTCTTTTGACTCGGAGATTTTGGATGAATGTAGGTATTGTAGAATTTCAAGAGTTCGGGTTTCTTAAGTTCACGAAGACCTTTGGTGTCAACTTCAACTGAATATAAATTTAAAGATTAGAAAGATGATAAAGCAATAGCTAACATGATTAACAGTAAATTTCATTCATTTTATCATACTCTTATTAAATTCATAATAACCGGAACAAATAATGCACCAATATTTCTGACATTCATCACTCAGGTTTTTGTTTTTTTCCAATTTCTTTTCAATCAATGAGTTAACGTGTTTTTGATACTCTTCCTCTGATAGATTTTCGATTATTTCCTGTTGATGGTTCAAGCGATGTTAGGATACAGTACCATCACGCAGTCAAAACAAAACATGAATAACAAATATCTATTAAACAGCGTGAGAAAATCAATTATGCGTATCACCTGTAGCTTATCTAAAAACGCTTCAATTCTCTTTTCCAAATATACAGTGTCCTTTTCACTTTGAATAACTACTCGAAACTCCATTGTGCTGGTCATTTCTTTCGTAGCACAATATACTGAATACCCTGTTAGATAACAATTTACCATTAATTTAGATGGAAATCGGCAAATGGAAGCAGAAAAAAAACATATCCCGAAATGACCGAATTATCAAAAATTGAATACCTAATTGTTCTTTTGTTCTCAATTGGTCAAAACAAGGTTCATCGGCGATCTGCCCTACCAGGTCTAGCCTTATCCGCAATTCCTGATCTATTTTATCTCCAACCTGCACACTATAATTTATAGCAGAATTGATTTCTTTTTTGTCAAAAACCTCCGTGGAAAAAACATATCTCTTTCCAATTGGTAGCAATATAGTTCGATCGCTAATTAATTGTGATGGCAATAACTCCTTCGATTCCAATATCCTTTCGATAACATCTATCATATTGATAGCTTCGGGTTTGCTCATATTGCCGTGAATTAATCCTTCGAAAAACATACGTTCATATAATCTTGGATAAAATTTTTGTATATCCTCATAATTGATCTGTTCTAACATCAAAAGTTTTTCTTGATAGGTCCACATTTTTTGCTTAAGGATGTATGTTTTATGATATCTAGAAAGAGTAGATGGAGAATCTAACAAGCGATTTTGATAAACCCTTTTTAATTCCTCTTTAATCTTGGAGAATCTTTCAGGTTCAACGGTAAAATTTTTCATTTTCTCAAGAATTTTTTCTAAGAGAAGGGTGGCCTTGTCATTATACCCAACTACAGATACTCCAATCCCACCGTCCTGATCATAAAGATAATAAGATAAGCCAGCAATTGATGCACTATAACAAAATTCAGCAAGAGAATCATTAACAAGATCCACGTATAGTCGAGTCTTAACAGAATGTAATGGCGTGAGATGAGCAATTGGACTATAATAAATAATAATTAAATCAGTTTTATGATTAAAAATATGTGTGAGCGTATTCGTGGATTAGATAGAAGGTCCTTGAATTCTCCTGATCATACGTACGTCTTTAGCAAAAAATGTGCCTCAATCTTTGGGACCCAGAATTGATCATCTTTTTTATACCAAATACGACCCAGTGCCGTTTTTCTAATAATACGGGGATGTTCTAAAGGCTATATAAACAAACGCAATGTAAATATTAAAGATTTTTAAACAGCGTTTCTAGCAATAATTTACCGTAACGTTTTCAAGCTTTTCGACATCAAGATTTGTCGGAATAAATTCGTTTGCAGGATGAACCTCGAGTTCGGGATTTAGTGTAAGACTTTGCAATGACTATAAAAAAAAAAGACATGGAATTATAAAGCACCAAGGAATAAACATGTTTTGTATATATTTTTCATACCTTTAATAATCTGTCATTGATTGGTTCAAATTTATATTCTGTACCGAACCATCGTTCTTTCTTATCGAACCCACTCAGCAATTTACTCGATAGCGTGAGAACACACTTATCCCAACTTAGATACTCCAGCCCTTCGGCAATAAGTTTCGAATCATATTTTCGTGTTAAGTACGGGCCACTTAATATCCATTCGCGAGGATATGGACGCTGCATGTAGTTTGAAACCTCCGAGACATAATATGATGGGTAGCTTTTTTCTAGAAATCTGAAATCAATTTCTTCAACCGATTGAATCTAAAAAATTGTAAACAAGAATATAGATTGCCAATTTTTCGCTCAAATATATATATATATATATATAGTGGCACATTTTAACGTACTTCTTTAAATACACTCTCTTGCTCTTTAGGGTCAACTTCTTTCAACATATTGATATATTGAAAGCAAATTTCCACAACCTCCTCATAATGGGCTAAAATTGACGAAGAATTTGGAATTGAATTATTATATGAAAATTTAACCAAGTGCATAATATTTACCAAGACCTTCTTCGGTAAGATCGATCGAAATCTTGAGAACTTCAAATCCCACACTTTGATGCACAGAATAGGAGCTCATTGTGTTGGCCCAACCTAGAAAAAAGTAACGATTGATAATGCAAAATGGGTTAAGTAAATAAAATAAAATAAATTACATAGGAATTTTTATCCGTTGGTAGGGTTACCTTTCTTCTTTAATAAGGATAGGATTGACCCTTTTCCCTCATGTCCGATCAAGTGTGTTAGGTAGCGGGCAGGCTTTAAATAATAAATTACGTAAATAAAATCACAAAAACACAAGTGATACAGGATTTACATCAAACCTTTGTCTCATATAATAAATATTGATCAGGAAATGGGAAGGTGATTTCTAAAGAATGTTGATCCTTAACCGGATTCATTGAAATTTGATTCTATATAAAAATTTTTTTCTTTCATTTCAGATTAAACAATTCATTTTGAAAAACAAATAAACCATGACTTTGTTTAAAAAATGAAATTGCATTTACACCCAATTCCTTATCAGTTATAGGATATCCATCGGGAATAGGTATTGGAATAGATTTATTTTCGACCTCCGTAAACTTTTCCACGACCCAATTACTTAATTGATCTAGTGATTCTTCATGATGATTATATAAATGTTACGTTCTACTGATGCCAAACTTTTAAGGACCAAGCACTGAGAATCAAAAAAGATCTTACCTCTGCCCAATACAGCCAATTTCATCAAATTGGAAGAATAATACTTTTTGTGATGTTTTATTAATTCTTCCCTGATATCAAGACCCGCCTTGAGGGGAATTTCTTTTAGAGATTCAAGGTTGCCAATCCCAAACTGCGAAAATGGGTGATCAGGGTTAGAAAGACTACGTTCCAATTGATATCTTCTCCATCCGTCATCCTGGAGATTATTCTTATACTCTGCGTTAATCGTTTATATGAATGCTTCAATGGAAGTGCCCAATACCTAGTGTAACAAAGATTTCACACGGAAAATAATTTTTACCAGAATCAACAGCACGCAACTCCCTTTCAGTGCAATCAGCATTAAAAAGAGGATGAATAAAAAATTGGGCAAATCTAAATTTATGTAAAAGACAATGTAAGATAATTTTTTTTTTTTTTTTTTAATATAAGACAAAAAAGCGAAAGAAAGAAGAAAGAAATGGAGAAAATTAAAGGCTTTACCTATCTAATGCTCCTTCGAAATGCTCATGGCTAACTTCAAAAAAGTAATTCGTATCATCTACGTTAGTATAGGCATTACCATATCCATTGTGTTTGGTCAAATACTATTTTAATGACAAAAAATCTTTGAGCATGAAGGTAGAAAAAAAAAAAATTATGTTAAAAAAATTTTCTTTACTTCGAGATAATCGTTTTCCTTGGGATACTTTTTAAGAAAGAACTTTATTAGGTGATATTAAGTAGGTTAAGATATAACAAATCCTCACGCATGATACCTTTGTGGTTCCCTGAAAAGTTGTGAAAATGTTAAATACATGCAGATTTGACGTGTGAATACCAAAATAAATCCCCTACCATGAATAACAGATGTTCGCAAAAATGCCCTAGACCCTGGAGATTTGGCTGCAATACAGTTTTTTCGGTTAATCATCGGTTTTCTCTAACCACAATCCAACTTCGAAGTTTCTTCCAAGCAAAAACGTATACTTATAAATACCGGATCATGTATCTGTCCAATATGAACATCCATCGCAGCAGCTGACTTGTCGGTTTTCGGATCACGAATAAGTAAGGCCTCCAAATCATTGGCAAGCCTGATCAACCGATATTCTCTATCGTCATTCGCAGATTTTTCAATTGGAATACTAAAAATCGCGTAAGTCTCATCTGAAGAAACCTCAAAATTTGACGGGACATTGGTGATATGCGCCGAGGTATTCGAAGACATGGTTGATGGCTATTTAAGAATCCATGTTTGGAAATTTTAGACGTGCTTTATATAGTTACACATTTTGGTGCAGATAGTACAATTGTGAAACGTGGCACGGCGATCAAAATAGATGATGCACTTTACGAGTTTTCATTTATTTGTTTTAAAAGCTTGTAAATACAAATTTTATATTTGCATTTATTTTGTTATATTGTATTTTTCATATCTTATATAAAACCTCGTATGCACTAAATGTACAGTATAATATAATAAAATTAAACTATCTGGTATACTTTGTTTTTAGTACACTCCCCCAGCAAAAGTCACCGGAATTTTCAAAATTGTATATGATCGACGGCCATAAATGGTTGTTAAAATTCACAACTATACCATATAACTTGATCTTTATTAAGAAGTTTATATAACTATCTACAATATTACAAAAAAATTTTTATATAATGACTAACTTATAATTGTATTGAAATATTTCAGGCTAAATCTAAAGAATAATATTTTATTTATTTAAAGAATTATTATAAATTTCTATTCATTAGATTATAATCAACAGTTTGTTATTGTAAATTGTTTAAAAATTATGAGCTGTCAAGTTAATAAGAAAAAAAAAAAAAGGAGAGAAGGAATACAATTTAAACTCTTTCAAAAAAGTTTATTAACTAAACAATATTTTTACAAAAAATTTTTTATCTAATTGTAATATTCTTTTAACTTCTACTTAAATTTTAGAAAAAATCTTTTTTACTACTTGTAGTATTGAATAAGTCAATTCAATTGAATTATTATTTAAATAAGGATCAAATTAAAATAGATTTAAAAAATTTTAAAAACTTTGATTTTTAGATAGAAAAATCTTTTTATTACTCAAAAAAATTAAATAAAATATAATTTAATTCATATTATTCATCTCTAGACTTTTAATATCTTTAATATTTTTTTTTAGAATTTGAGATTTTTGAAAAAGAACAATTTTTAAAAACTTTATTATAATTATTACAAAAGTTATCAAATATATAAGAATAGTCAATAAAAACTTGTTTATATTCTATAAACTAATATATTTATATTAATTAATAAAAATTTGTACTATTAAAAATTTAAGATCAAACTAAAATAAATAAAATTCTTCAAAAAACTTAAAAATATAAACTCTAAAAAGATTAAAATAATTAAAATAAAAAATAAAATTTCTATAGTAACAATTTTCTATAATTCTTATTTTAAAAATTAAAAAAATTTTGAATACTTTGTAATCAGTTTTTTTTTCTTTTAGAAACTTTTTTATTATTGATATCAAAAATTTTACTTGATTTTTCTTAGCTATTTTAAAGTTAAATTTTTGAGTAAAATAGTTTGTATGTAAGAAAAAGGTAAACCAATTCCTGAAGTTATATTTTAAGTTATTTTAATAAAAGTAATAGACTTTATTAGTAAAGAAATAAAAAACTTCTTATGAACATTTATATATATATAGTCATAAGATTAATAAATTGTAAAAATTTATTATTTATTATTCTTATTATTTATAAAATTAATTAAAATAATTTCAAAATTATTATTATTATTATTTATTTTATAGCAACTGATATTATATATAAGCTCTTTATTAATTATTATGATATTAATTATTTTTTTTTATTATATACAGAATAAAAATAATCTATTAATACTCATTATAATTAAACCTACTTATTTCTTAAGTAAGAGGATTTATCTAATTAAGAATCAAATAATTAATATATACTTATCAATAAAATTCTTGATATATTTAATTTAAAAATATATATTGATTTATTTTTTCTATATTATTTATACTAATTTATATATCAAAATCAATTTTTCAAAAATTATTAAATTATTTCAATATCTTAATATTTTTGCTTAAATTTTAGAAAAGATTTATTACTATCTATAGTATTATATATAAGTTCTATTTAATAGATTATTTATTTAAACAAGCATTGGATTAAAATATTTTAAGTTAAAATAGTTGGATTTTAAAATTTATTAGTATAATTTGAAATAGAAAATATTTAAATGATAATTGTAATTCTGAAAGCAAGATTTCAAAATTTCTTAATATAATTTAGAATTAGAAATTTGTTTTAATAATTATTATCATTTTAAAAGTTGAATTCTAGAATTTGTTTTTTATTTAATTTAAAAAAAAATAAATTAGGTATAAATTATATAATAAAATCAAAAATCTTTCTTTACACAATTTTTATAGTAAATTATGTTTAGCTTAATTATTAATAAAAAAATTAGAAGTCCTATTTATATATAACTTGATTATTTCAATATAATTATTATATAATATTATATTCTAAATTTTGTAATTCTAATATAGAAGTACTATTATTATGCTATAAATTCATAGATTATAATTTTAAAATTATTATTTTTATTATAATAATATTAATTAGAATAATTTCAAAATTTATTATAATTATTATTTATTATTTTTAAATTATAATTAATATTTTTTATTAAAAATTAAATTAAATTAGAAAGAATAAATATATATTCTTAATTTTTTTTAATACCAGTTCAACCTTGTTTTATTTGTACATTTGTAGTATAATTACATAAAATGGCTATACTAGAATATACTATCTTTTTACTATTAAACAAAATTCAATAGAAATATCCTTTTTTGTGTATACTCACATTGCAGCTTATTACTATCCTTATAAGGGACTAACCTACTAAAGATGAGCTAGTGCTAAAATTTTTTTTTATTTTTTTTTTTAAATACTCAACCTTATCCATTTTATTAATTATATATATTGCATACTTTTGTATACAAAATAATTTTGTAAACTATTTCTATGCTTAACGGAACAATAAAATTAATTAATAAAATACCTATTGTGATATGTTGTTTTACTACTCAAGCTAACTTAGTATACATAATATTTTACTAGTGTGTGTTATTAGCAAGAGAGATATATAAAGAATGGTGAAAGGAAAAAAGTTATGAGCTAGATTATTTTTAAGTAATATATTATCAGGAACTATAACATTCAAAAACCTCTTTATAAAAATATTAAAAAAAACATGTTTATTCCATCTTGAGACTTGAAAGTTGTGGTGATTGTGTTGTGTACTTGGACAATGTATATGTTCAGCCAGAACTTTAGTGATATTTTATTTCAAAATAAGGAGGTCAGGTCTTGAGGCCTGTTACTTCACAGCTTATACAAGGGAAAGAAGATTTGATGGAGTGCATGCGAAAAGGTGATACTAATAAAGTGTTACCTATCATTATCTAATGATGACTTTTAATAATATCTATTTCTGGCTTGTTAATTTCTCAAGTTAATAGAATCTCCCAATATTAAATAACAGTTATATTTATTTATTTATCTTTACCTTGGTTACTTTAATACTATGGGAAACTCTTTCATTTACTTTGATGAACTTTGTCTCTAGCCAGATTTCAATTATATATAGGAGTTAACTATTCTTGTCAATCAAGAAAAGGGATTCTTTAGGTCGTTCATCTGCTCAGTTAGTTTGATATAGGAGGGGTAGTGGAAGGGAACTTATTTTGATATTGTTTGGGTAATTTGTATCTTTCAAGGTGGGAGGGATTTTTTTCAGTAAGGGAAGGATTATAGGAGGTATATATGTATCTGGGTAAATCAATCCACTTGTAAAACGTTCTATTGCAGTATTATATGATTCAGTAAAGTTGTGAGACACTTGCTAGGTCTCCATGTCCTAAGAGCTAAGCTAACAGGGCTTGAGAGCTTTATTCTTATTTTTTCTTTCTAGTAATGACCAATGATATGATAAGGAACAATGTTCTGTATTCAACTATAACAAACTTATATGACTAGACCCCAGATTCTTATAAAACTGATGAAATGTATTTAGACATATGAGGTGACCAATGTGAGCTTGTTTACATTCTTTTACTGATATGATTTTACTAAGCCAATTAGCACACGAGGAACTTTGTGCTATTTAAAATTCAGGGTCAAATTGATGTAGACAAAATTCCTCAGAAAAAACTAAGAAAGAGTACTATTAGAGCTTAACAAGTGATAAAAAGAGTGAATGCATATATTCATAATAACTCTCTTATCACAGATAAAAGCTCTGTAATATTTCTTTATATATAAATAAGTAGCCATCAGTCAGTTCTTCTTCCTTTTAGAACTTTTTTTACATTGATAGAAAAGGTATTCTATGACTTTTCAGATCATTTGAAGTCAAGGTTTTGAATGAAGAGGTTTTTAAACAATAGAAACAGGATAAAAGTGACTTTTGAAGTGTATATTCAAGTTATTTTAAGAAGAGTATTAAGACTTTATTAACAAAGAAGTATAAAATATCTTATGAACATCTTTTTTGTATATGGTCAGTGAATCAGCGAAAAGAGTAATGGGTTAGTGCTAAAATAAATTTTGAAAATAAAGGAGTTGTCTATAATATTTGTAAGCAACTGATTTATAAAATTATTGACAAAATTAATTTATTGATCTTTTATATATTTTCCTTCTGATTAAATTGTTGGTTTTCTTTTTTGATCATATATTTTACTTGTCTCTCCTTTTTTTTTGTAATGACCATAATGGCCTTTCACCTCTAAAATGTTTTACATCTCTCTATTCAGATTTTATATAAGAAATTAATTATATCTATATATATTTGAATAAGACAGATCTTTCTGTTTAGTCTGTCAAAAATAGCAGATTGGATATAGTTGACTAGTTCTTTAAAGAAAGCTTCTTTGATACTTGCTATTAAGTATTCTTTGTATCTCCAGTTTATTTTCTTGTAAATTAACTTTCAAATTTATTTCCCTTTTCTTATATTATATATAGCTTTTGATATGAGTGGTTACAGTACTAATTAGAAACTCTTCAATTATATATTTAAGTTGATTGCAAATGAAAAAAAGTATACTGGTTTCTAATTCATGATATTTAAGGTATTTATTGTCCTTGTACAAGGAAAAAGTTCTGGTATAGAGTTTGCTTTTGGTCAACAGT